AGTTGTTGAACCAAAGAAATTGAAGAGGTTTATTTATCAATTATACGATATATATTATATAAAAAATTTTGGTTTTCATATGTTTTCGCTAATAAATAGTTCTATATATATATATATATATATATATATATATATATATATATATATATATATATATATATATATATATATATATATATATATAATATATATATATATATATATATATATATATATATATATATATATATATATATGTATATCCTTGGAGTTGCGGCAGCATAATAGTGTGATGGGGGAAAAAAATTTATAAACCTGCGTTAATAACCCGTTTTCTATTATATATATCTATATATATATATATATATATATATATATATATATATATATATATATATATATATATATATATATATATATATATATATATATATATATATATAATAGAAAAATTTAGAAATAAACAACATATCTTCGCAGACGCTGTCTGCGAAGATATGTTGTTTGTTTCTAAATTTTTTTTCTTTATTAGAAACAGAATAAATTTTAATATTTTTTAATAAGTTTTTGCTAATATGGTTGCAGGTTTTTCTTCTGTCAAATAAACTTAAGAAACCTGTATTATTCTAAAAACACATTGCATTATCTTTAATAATTTTTCGTGTAGTGTTGTTACCTTTGGCTTATCTTTACGTTGGTGTCAGCTGTTAAAAATGATAATTAGGTAGTTTTTTTTTTTCATTCAAGACATCATTTCGCTATAAATACAATTTGTTTATCATAAAAAAACAATATTTAGCAACTACTACTCAGGTATCACAACAGCTTATCTCTATCAGGTACATTGATTTTCAATTCACATATGATGTTTTTCTTTGTATTTACTTATTCGTTACATTATTAACTTCAGATTTATGGTGTATTTATTTGCTATAGAAGAACAAATCATTTTGAATTTTTTAAAAATATCTACTCCAATCAACATTTAAAGTTCAATGTTGCATATACCATTTTTAAGTTGCTTCTAGGCTTTTTTGATGCTTTTCTAATTCAAGTGGTTTTATAAGCAAGGTCTGCAAGCTAATTTGAGCTGAAAAGTTTTTCAGCTTTCAAGGAGTATCAATGTTGTTCTCTGTTTAATTTAATTTGTTTATATAGAGTAGTTTTAGTAAATAAATGTTTGTTTGTTCTTGGATTTTTACTTATTTGTTTTCAGATTCTTAAGAACTAGGCAACTTAGCAAAGCAAGATTTGTTTTATTTTTTAGTGCAATTGGAAAGACCTAAAGTGCTTTTTAGTCACTTTAAATCAATTGTTTCTTTTTTTAAATAGAAGGATTAATAATAAAAATATTTAGACAGTCGAACTGTTACTGATTTGAGTAAGATTAATGTTTTGTTTAATTTTATATTAGATATATATTTTATGTATTTAACATGGAAAACTGACTTTTATTTTTGACAGGTAAGTTTATATACATAAATGTGCCTATATATCAAAATATTTTATATTTCTCTGAATCTATATGAATATTATCTCAAAGAAAAAATTAAAAAGAATAGGAAAAATTTGAATATATATACATACATATATATATTACTTTAGACTGACATTGCTTCATTTTTTATACAAGATTCTGCATTTATTATTTTTGTGCATTGAGATTGTGCCTGAAGGCTTTCTTAATTTAGCAAAGAATTTAGAACACAATGCAAATAACTTTGCATTGTGTTCTAAATTCTTTGCTAAATTAAAATAATGTCAATAAATTTTGTTTTATATTTTTCAGTTGTAAAAATATAAAACATTTATTTATTCAGTTGTAGCAGTAGTATAATCACTGGTAATATATATTTAATGATAACAGATGTATAATATTAGGCTCGAAGAAGTTATTAGTGTAAATGGTTATAGGTGACTTGGAGTTGTTGTCATATGAAAGAAATAGATCTAGGCGTGATAAAGTTAATTGTTGTTGAAATATAAGAAATTTTGCTTGATGAACCGAAAACTAACTTGCCAGAATTCAGTGTCAAGCGGTGTTGATGTCTATTATTTGACTTTCCATTAGACTCTTCAAAATAAAGCAAAGTATGAATTTTACTATTTATAGTAACAAATAATAACAGTTTCAATTTTAAATGATTTAAACTTTTTTTTTTTTTTGTAATCTTAAACATAATTGTGTTCATTTTTTTTTAGTTGTCTTTGTCATCACTTGATTATTTTGCTTACTGTTTAAACATGGTTTTAATTTTATAAATTTAATATGATGTGAAATTTAAAATATTAATCATTTGTCAACAGTTAGAGAGAAGCTGGACCTTAATTAAGAAATGCTGGAAATTAACTTTTAGTTAAGGTAAAAATAATTTTGTTTATTGGTAGCATAATAAAACCAGTTACTGTTATTTTTTTGCATGATTTTTTTACTTTTTCTAACATGCTGTTTTTAAAACATTTCCTGTCTCTCTCTTAGATGAAACTTACTAAGAAATAGTATTGAGAGTTGTAGAGAGAGAATTGATTAAACTGTGTAATTACTGAGCTCTGATTAAACTCTGTAAATACTGAGCTCTTGCGTATTTTTTAATACTGCGATTGATAATTTGCTATTAAAAGATATATTTTTTTAAATTGTCCCTTGGTTTTTCAAATATTGTATTAAAAAAATATTTTAGTTTCATGTATTTTTTTTTTAGGGATCGTTTATATATTACCATGGTGGCCAGAGTCCTGGAATGTCCTGGATTTTTGCAAGTGTCCTGGAAAATTACATTTTTTTCAAAAATGTCCTGAAATGTCCTGGAACTTTTTTTTTCTGAGTCAAGTTAAAAAACTAATAATAATATTGAAGTAATATTAAATTTTTTATGCGAAAATTTTTTTTATACAAATAGTTTGAATTTTATTTTAAATAAGATAGTAGTAATAATATAATAATATAATATTCTATTCTATAATTCAATGAATATGAAAAAAATATAACGTAAAGATAATTGATAATATTCATTTAATAAGATATAAAATGTCCTGGAAAACGCAACAAAATGATCTGGAATTTAACTTTTAAAATTTCGTGGCCACCATGTATTACGTAACGCAAAATTAAACATATAGACAAAAGAAATATCTCAAACAACGTGTTTCTCTCATAGTCAACTATATGCTGCATTTTCAAGAACAATAGCATTTAATAGTTTGTTTTTCAAAATTGATAAACATCTTATTCAAGGTATAGTAGGTAAAAAAATGTAACATAAATATTGTTGTATTTTTTAATGTTCTTAATTTATAGTCTTAATTTCGAAAATTTACTGTTAAAGGTTGTGAGCACATTTTGTATGTATAACTTTATTTATCATTATTTATTATCATTCAATAGTTGTAAAATGTGTTTATATGTGTTAAATAAAGTCATATTTGTTTATAGTTGTATATATGTTTAAATTATAAAAACCAAAACAACAATTTATATCTTAGTTTGATTTTTTTTTTAATATCGGTAATGCTTTGGTACTTTAAAACAGGTTTTATAGTTACATTTTTCATAAATCCTAAACTGCAATTTCAAAATAGGTTACTATAAATAGGTAAATCGATTTTTGGTAATTGTGTAGTGGTTTTTTTTTTTTTTTTCTTTGTTATTATGATATCATAATTTCATTACTTTTTTATTTTAGAATTACGTTATGACGCATTTAGTTAGTTTTGTATTTTATCTATTTTATCCCTAATAATTTGTTGTACGTATTTTAAGGAGATTTTTGATAATGAAGGGGGGGGGGGTCGTAACTAAAAACCTTTAAAAGCATGGAGAATATTAAGGCGAGTTTCCACTCACCCGTTTTTTCACGGGAACGGGAAAGGGACGGGAAAAATAATCACGTGGACATGCGTAGAATAACTTTTAATATGTCTGAAAGAAAACTACGCATGCTCACGTGATTATTTTTCCCTTTCCTATCCAGTTCCCGTGAAAAAACGGATGAGTGGAAACTCACCTTTATAGTTTAGCGCTTTAATCCCAGCCGGCACAATTGTGCCGGCTGGGATTAGCGTAAATTAGCTACAAGCGTAACTATTTTCTGAGTTAACTCAGAAAATAGTTACGCTTGGTTTCTGTTGCGTTTTTAAAACCTTCTAAAACAAAAAGAATAATACGTATTCTAAATGGTTTTTATTCCGTGAAATTAACTATTACTATTTACCATAAATACCAGTTAAAGTATTAATGGTTTCACCGTTATGGAAACGTAGTATTATATTTGAATAACTTTCCGTAAGGAATGTGAAACCACTGATAAAAACATGCAACATTTAAATTTGACTTTAAAACCTCAAAAAACACGTGTTAAACTCTAGTAAAACTGCCCGTAATAAACACGTGCTTTTGGTTTACGCCTGGATCGTGAAAAACACGTGCCTATATAGATTTTATTTCCGAAAAAGAAACTAGATGTGCCGATATATATATCGAGTTACTTAAGTTTTATTTATGTGTTTAACTAATTAGTTAACTTAGTCTGTATTTGCAACACTTTTGAGGAAAGAAAGAAAACATTCTCATATATATAGATCATTGTTTTACATTTTTTTATTTAATTTTATTCACCTGGCACCATTAAAGCAAAAAGAGGGGAGGAACCTCTTTATTAGAGTCAAAATATTTAGGAAAATTAAATTTCGAGTTACAAAAGGAATTTTCAGTAAATGGTGGCAAATTACCGTTTACTAAAAAATTAATGAAATAAAGAGGCCAAACAAATAATATAGAAATGGTCTGTGCTGAACAGACTTAACAAGACCCGGGTCGGGTCAGCTTGGTTTACAAATTTTTATGTTTACTTATCTCTTATAATTTTCATTTTAGGTTTGTCGTATGATGCATTAATGCATTAAAAAGTTTGTTATACCCATGTTTGATCGTAAATTAAATTTTTTCGTTTGAAAGGTATTTGTACTCAGTTGCGTAGATATTTATAATAAACTTTGTTATTTTTAATAAATTTATTTAAATGTGTGCATTTAACATTTTTAAGTTAACAACTTTCTTTATTAACAAATTAAAAAATTATAACAATTTTTTATAGTTTTATATTATATGACTATATTGAACAAACACGTCATCTGATTAATCTAAAAAGTAATCGAAATAAAAAAGGAAAAAAAAAACACATGTATTAACTGGAAATAAATTTATTTATACATAATAACAAAACAAAATATATAAAGAAAAGTAAGTATTTATTAAAAAAAATTAACTCATTGTATATCGAATAATAATACTAGTTATAGATTTTTTTCCATCCACTCTCTCTCCTCATACTTTCTACAGGATCAACACTATATTATAAAAAAAATAAAAAGGGAAAGGGGGGGGGGAGGCAAGATTTTTCCTTAAGTTTTTGCCCACATCTTATCAAAAAGCATTGTAAGATGTCTAACATAAAAAAAAACTAAGACATGAAAAAAGAAAACATTAAAGGTTGACACTATAAACACTATAAACCAAATTACCTGTTGCTGATGCCTTTTCTAGAGGATTGGTAAAAATAGTCAAAATCTGTAAAAGACATTTATTGCAAAAACAATCAGCTATTACAAAAAATAACAAAAGCATAACAGCTAACACTGCAAACAAATTTTGCAATTTGATCAGAAAATAATTTTTTTTTTACCTTGATTGCGACAACTAATTTCCTTTAAAACTATTAGCTAATGATCAACTTAGCGAATTTTAAATAATCAACTAGGCGACTTTTAAATAATTAAAGTATACTAAGTTAAAACCATATTTTCAAAGTAAACAAAGTAAACATATGATAGTTCTCGCCCAGCCTGCTTTCTTTTATTTGACTACAATTTATCTCAGCTTGCCTAGACTCATCTCTTCAATTTTGACAAAAATTTATCTCAGCTCGCCTAACCTGGCTTCTTTTTTTCTCAAGTAATTCTAATAATTTTACTTCTAAAATTATCAGACAATATTAAGCATTAAAGAAGTGTGTGTAAAAATAATGCTTAAAATATAAAAAGTCTAACTTTTATTTTTAGATTAAACTTTGAGTTTCTTTCTTGAACTCATCTAAAATACAGTGTAAGCAAATAAAACAGCATAATATAATATTCTACTCTACTATTACTCATATTTAAATCAGATTTTTAAAAATAATTGAGCAATGTGTAAATATAACATATTTCTATTGAGAAATTAAACTAAAGTTATGAATAAATTGATATCATCTTTTAAACTAAGTATTGATAAATATTTAAGATGGTATGTATTAATTATTGACAAAATGTTATTAGTATTTAACAATAAAAAAACAATAAAAAGTAATTTAAAAAACAAATATTTTACATATAAGAGCTCATACACAAAGCAAATAAAAAATTATAAGGCCTATCAGCTCAGTAAGTACTGCTAGCATAAAACAATAAAATGTAATCATCCATCATAAAACCCTTTCATTACTTTGAAAAGTATTTAATGCAAGATTTACAATAAATAAATAAAAAACTAATAATAGAAAACCTCTATAAACAATCAATATTTGCTTCAAGTGAAGTAACTTGGAAATATTGAAACTTCTTTAACTATTTTATTTTTTTTATATAAATAATTTTCTTAAGTAAAAAGTCAATATTTTTAATCAATTTTAAAATGTCAATACATATATATAAATATAAAAATTTTTTAATCTAATTTATTATTGCTCTGTTCTTTAAGAACATTAAACGCTCTATTGTAGAATATACTAACATAATTTGTATATATATATATATATATATATATATATATATATATATATATATATATATATATATATATATATATATATATATATATACATATATATATATTTATATATCTATATATATATATATATATATATATATATATATATATATATATATATATATATATATATATATATATATATATATATATATATATATATATATATATATATATATATATATATATATATATATATTATATATATATATATATATATATATATATATATATATTTTATATATATATATATATATATATATATATATATATATATCCTTATAGTGTAGTCAAAAGAGTCTTTTAATGTAAAAAAAAGTCTTTTTCGACTGCAATTTTAATTACCTCGTCTCTTAAGCTGTATTCGAAATGTCAAAGCAATTAAATTAATGCGGAAGTACATTAAATTTTATTGTTTTTTAAAAATTTTTTAAAAAACCGCAATAATAACGACTAGAAAGTTTTTTTTAATTAGTTGTGTTTTTGTTTTTGTTTTATTAAAAAACATTTTTAAAACATGCGTAAATGTTGCTTCATCGACTATCTTATAGCCTCTTGCTACAAGGGAGTGTCTCTACATCAACTATCTTATAACCTGGCTATACATCGACTGACAAATAGCCTGACTCGCAAGGAAGTGCTGCTACATCGACTGACAAACAGCCTGACTCGCAAGGGAGTGCTGCTACAACGACTGACAAATAGCCTGACTCGCCATGGAGTGCTGCTATATCGACTAAGGGTTTGGTTTGGGCAGGCAGTCTATCATTTAAAAAAAAATTTCAAGTTTTTAAACTTTTTCTGGTCTGGTTTATTAACGCGCTCTTTAAAACTACAGTTTATGGGAAACTCTTTTTAACTACCATGCAAGAGTATATATATATATATATATATATATATATATATATATGTATATATATATATATATATATATATATATATATATATATATATATATATATATATATATATATATATATATATATATATATATGCTTACCGTTGTTCTTTCTTATCTTTAACATGTAACTGAGTGAGATGCAAGAGTTTAGGATATATATATATATACATATATATATATATATATATATATATATATATATATATATATATATATATATATATATATATATATATTAACTAGAATATATCCAACTTATTACTAATTAAGTTGATGAAGCAAAGTTTTTGATCTTATTACTGATTAAGCAGATATTAACAGATTATTAAGAATCAAGAGTACCTCATCGCGTGGTCAAAAATAGAAATAAACAAAAGGAGAAATATCTAAAAGCTTGCTTTATGAAACTCTGTGTAAAAACGCGCCTGAATGGTGAGCAGCAGCAGCAGCGTTAAGTTTAGTATTAATTATAAGCGATTGTATAAAAAGGCTGGAAACAAATCAAAGATCTAGTGTAAAATATTCTCTTAGTGCACTACAACTTAATACATTACAACCTTGTATAGAGTTGGTATAAAGCGGTCCACCAAGAGCAGAAAATAATAAATCACAAGTTAAACTTGTATTATTTATTCCGATACCTTCTATAGAAGTAGAATAATTTCATACGCAAAGTGCATTAACAGCATATATTCTAATAAATACTTTACCAGGTACAGTTCCAGTACTAGCGGTTCCTGAAATTACAATTCATAGTTTTTAGAGAATTCATGGACTGTCTGCATAACTAAAAATTGTTTCTGCTATATTATTACTAGGTTGACCCATAGTCTGTAATTTTAATCCAAAACATGTTGAACTTGTATCTGGAATTATTTCTAAACAACTAGGATTTTATTTTATGGTATCAACATAATGCTTTGTAGCAAAACTTTGCGCGTTAGTAGGGTGTGCTACATTCATTAACTTGTGTGCATTTAAATTAATGTAAGCAGTTGCATTATTTTGTCCATCTCTTTTAATTTATAAAGCATCTGCTTGAGATTGGGTTAATTTATTTGCAACTAATCTAGTTATATCTGAAATACCATATGAATTATCAATTGGACTTTGTCCAAATTTATCAACACTCAATATGATATCATTTCATTAACGTCATTAACGGTTAAGAGGTTAAAATACCAATTCATTCTTTGTTTTAACATTTGTGCTTTGTTTTTTTTTAATTTGTTTCAAAAGAAACACATTTATCATAAAAAATATTTATATAAATAAAATAATAGTTCATTAACATATTATATAAAAAGTTATTAGATGTGTTTTGTTAATTCATTTAAAAGCGTTTTAATACTTTTTCTTTCAATAAGATTTTTTTTTATCTTTTTAGATGTATTAATTTTAATGATTCTACAAGATTAATTTTATAAAGTTTTTATGATTGTTTGTAAAAACAAAACAATTTTTTATTTATGTTTATTATAAAAAATGCATACTTAAATGATTTATTTAATATAAATAAAAGAAAAATAAATATACAACTTTTTTTGAAGTATCATTGACAAATTTTTTTTTGTCAGGTCAGGAGTACGGTCTTCTTGATCATCCTGCTACTGGTAACATGTAACCCAGTGCAACCTGTTCCATGTTCTGCTGCCTTGCATGATTTGCTATCTAAGCAAAGGCTGGAAGGAGTGTTCTTCCTGTCATCAGCACTATCTTATATCAGTCATGCCTATAGTAAATTTTTTTTTTTTTTTTCCCCAATATAGTTAAAGGTGCCTTAGTTACTGTATTAGCTCACCTGTAATCTACGTTATATATATGTTTGTGTTCTGTCTGAACCTCTGGCGCGGTGTTCGCTCACCCGTAAGTTACTTTATGTTCTTTATGTATGTCTGTGTTCTGTCTGAACCTCTGGCGCGGTGTTCGCTCACCCGTAAGTTACTTTATGTTTATGTTTATGTTTTTTATGTTTTTTTATGTATGTTTGTGTTCTGTCTGAACCTCTGGCGCGGTGTTCGCTCACCCGTAAGTTACACTATGTTTTTTATGTATGTTTGTGTTCTGTCTGAACCTCTGGCGCGGTGTTGACTCACCCGTAAGTTGATTTATGTTTGTTTGTGTTCTGTTTATACTCTAATGCAGCGTGAGCTCAGTAACTAACTACTTACTCCAACTACAAAACGTACACTCACCTTAGACTCCTGCATTTTGTTAGATGCAGTGTTTTTCCTAATGCACTTCCAAAATGTCATGCCTGGTTTTCTCAAAGTACTGTTGCGGGAAGTAACTCCTTTTAACTACTCCAGGTCAGGTCAGGATAATCGAGATCAATCTTGCTACTGGTATCACGTAACCCAGTACCACCTGCCACAAGCCCTGCTGCCTTGCAGAGTGTGCTCTTCTTAAGCAAAGGCTTGGAGAAATAAACTCCGACTAAAACTTCCCCTGCCTTGGGGCTCTTGGTTGAGTAAAGGCTAGAGATGGTGTCTCGATAAAAACACTCATCTTGGGCAGATGTTAACTGCATCAAGCTAAACATCCCCTGCCTTGAGGCTCTTGGTTGAGTAAAGGCTAGAGATGGTGTCTCCATAAAAATACTCATCTTGGGCAGATGTTAACTGCATCCAGCTACTGTCTTGTAGAAGGCCTCCTAGGCAAAGACTTTAGGGGTAAGCAGAAAAATTCTGCTAACCAGCCTCGAACCCCTTCTTCATCTATTAGGCTGGCGTAGATGTAACCTGTGTTACATTGTTTCCTGCCTAGGATGATTAATGCTGGATCTCCTTGACTCTGCTCATAGAATTTTGCTTATGCCTCCTTGATGATGGCTATGCACCTCTTCCTGTTATCTCCATATGAGGGTACAGCTCTAAAACTCAGTTTAATGGTTCTGAGGCCGGCTGGTAGTAAGGTTTCCCGAACTCTGTGTTAGCTCTCAGAGAGGCTGATTCCATCAACAGCTGCAAAATATCAGAGTATTAACAGTGCCATGTTGCGCATGGATGGTGTCCCTGTTAATGCTTTTGGTGTGCATTGTCAAGGCCACATAAGGAGCCCTATGTCACGGCTTAGGGTTAATTAACAGGACTAAGACAACCGCATAGCTCATTGATTAGAAAGCTGTGCTCTATCTATGAATGAGTCTAGTTCTCATTAAACCCAAATCATGACCAAAGTAACCAAAAATTTAAAACCTAAAAAACCATCCCCACCACCTAAATATTTTAATATATCTTTTACAAATATTCGCGGTCTACGAAGCAACTTTCCATCAGTTGAGTCTAACCTCCTGCAAAATTCACCAGACTTGCTTGCACTCAGTGAAACAAATTTAAATTCTGCAATTCCTTCTTCAGATGTCAGTGTTGATGGGTACTATCCTTTGATTGGTAAAGACT